TTTCCTGTCGTTAGAGTCATATAGAGCAACCGTTTCCGAGCCTAGAAGCAACAGTGTCTTATCAATGTATCAAAACCACTTAATATCCTAACAAAGAAGGATCAGAAATGGGACTGGAACAATGATTGTGACATTGCATTCAATACACTGAAGAATTGCTTCACTTCAGCACCAATATTGAAGATTCCAGACTCAGAGAATCCTTTTAGGATGGAAGTCGATGCAAGCAACTTCGCAACAGGAGCAGTACTCGAGCAAAAGGATGTCAATGACAGGTGGCATCCAGTCACATTCATATCAAAATCCATGAATGAGCATGAAAGAAATTACGAGATATATGACAAAGAATTACTCGCAATAGTTCGTGCTCTGGGTGAATGGCAACATTACCTGGAAGGAAACCCACACCAGATTGAAATCTGGACCAATCATCAGAATTTAACGTACTTTAGAGTAGCGCAGAGGTTGATAAGACGACAGGCTCATTGGTCTTTGTTTATGACAAGGTTCAACTTTGTTCTACAACACAAGCCTGGTCAATCCCTTAAGCGTGCAGATAGTCTGTCTAGGAGGCCAGATCATGAAAGAGGGGGTGGAATTAGACAATTGCGATGCAATAATGTTAAAACAAGAATATTTTGCATTAAGAGCGATTCAAATAGACCACGACTCCTTAGTTAATAATCAAATGGTACTCAAGAGGATCAGAAAAGCGCTCGAAAACAACAAGATCACAGCAACATATTGTGATCTGATGACGAAAGGATGCAGAGAATTCTCCAAAGACTTGGAGGATTGGAATTTTGAAGTTGATTCTGGCTTATTGCTGTACAGAAGAAAAGTGCATGTGCCTAAGGATGAGGAAATTCATTGAGAAGTCACAGAGCTACACCACGATTTGGTAGTAGCAGGACACCCGGGTAGATGGAAGACGTACGAACTTCTATCAAGGAACTATTGGTGGCCGGGAATGTCGGTATATGTCAAGAAATATGTCCAAGGATGCGAAAAATGTCAAAGGATTAAAAATATCACTCAAAAGGCACAAGGACCTTTACAACTGAATGAGATTCCAGAAAAACCATGGGAAGTAATGATGATTGATTTAATAACAGACCTACCGGAATCAGAAGGATTCAATGTGATCTGTGTGGGAGTTGACAGATTAACCAAGAGAGCACACTTCATACCGATAACCAAGGAATTCCCAGCCAAAGACCTAGCAGAAATAATGTATCAGAAAATATGGACATTACATGGTCTTCCGATGAAAATCACATCGGACAGAGGAACACAGTTTTCATCAAGACTGTTCCAGGAATGGTGCAAACTAATTGGAATACAATCAGCAATGTCAACAGCATACCACCCACAGACAGATGGTCAAACAGAAAGAGTCAATCAGAGTTTGGAGACGTTCCTAAGGATATATTGTAGCACAAGAATACTCGATTGGGCACAGTTTTTGCCAGCCGCCGAGTTCGCCTATAACAATCAAGCGCATGAAAGCACAAAGAATTCTCCCTTCTACATTGAATTAGGATGATGAGAATGATGAGAGCAAGTACCGAGATGAATCAGTGATAAACAGCAACAGTTAGATTTGGATGAAACTGATAGATGGAGATCATATGTATCAAAGAAACCATGGTCCCAGCATAGATAGTACAGGGTCTGGTAGAGAGTGAGCAAGATGAAAAGAAAATCCCTCTCTCACTGCTGTAATATTTACTGTATAAATGTATACTCCAGCATGTGGATGGAGATGCACATGTGAGCACAATGTGTGCAGGCTGGGCCCGATTTGGAGGAGCAGAGGGTAAGGGGCAGGGAGGAGGAGGGCGAAGGCATGTAGCTCTGGGCCGAGCTGGATCATTTGCGCGATGCACGGGGCATGGGCTCACATCATCTCACCGAGCCCCGCCCGCGCAACGGTGCGCACGCCATTGCAGGATGTTGTTGATGTCGACGGCGGCTGGGCCACCCCGCTGATCGCCCGGACAGGCCCACACACCGCAAGCGCACACTCTGCCCATCGCGTGCCGTCGAGTGCATGGGCCAGGACCTAGAACGAGCTCCTGGCCAAGACAGGAGCGTGAAAAACCAGAAGCCAGCCGAGCGGATGGCAGAACGGCGTCCATGCAATGGCCACGCTTCAAAACCTTCCCCGCAGCCCCAGCCCCACGCGTGTGGCGCGTTCACCATGGCACAGCGGCCGCACGCGCAGCCTGCGGACGGCGCAGGTGGGGGGTGGGGCAGATTCCACTTCCACATCCATGCGAGATGTCAGAGAAGTGCAGCAAGCGCGTCGTGGATTTCCAGCACGGAACACGATTGCGCACGGCGCGTCGAGCTCCATGTGACGCAGAGACAGGGACGTTGGCCGCTGAGATCGAGCACAGGCGGGGATCGGGGTCGAACCTCGAGGCTACGCGACGTCGGCCGCTGCTTCTTGTCTTCCTGCCCTACGTCCGCGCAGGCTGGGGCCGCGAGCCGAAGAGAAGCCCGTCTGGGATCGTATCAGCCATCCGCACGATGACGTGCTTGCTCTCGCTGCGGTACGCTGCTGGGCCCATCCCGTGGTCATCTGGTCTGACTCGGAGCGTGCTCACGTCCGTGCTTGGACGCACTGGCAGACACGGCACGGCGTCGCAGCCCCGAGGCGTGCAAATCCAAATTCTAACCTCCCTTCCCAGCATCCAGCTTGCTCCCGGCGCAGTGTCTCACGTCCATCGCATATCGAGCACGTCGACAAAGATGCACAAAGGGGCGCACTGTCCTTTCAACCTCAGCGCGGAACCAGAAGGTGGCATCGACGCGTTGCCCATTGCGGGGACTCATCTTCTCTTTAGCTCCCCATCACGACAGAGTCAAGGTCAAGAGGGAGAGTGGGAGCGTGCTCGGGAGCCGAAGAGAAGGCGAGCCCGCGCAGGCTCCGTGTCAATGGTCTTCTGTTGCACACCAAGGACGAAGGGACGCATAAGGGGCAAGTGGGCCGCGCCGCGTCTCCCTCCGCACATCTGGTAGCAGTGAGCCCATGTAGCACTCCGTCGTTGGCCTCCGCCGACATGCTGGATACGCAACGAAGAATGCGGGACACTGCGCCGGGGGCAAGCGGGACGCTAGAAAGCTAGGTTTTTTGAACCCGTCATCGTGCAGATGGCGGATGACGCAAACGCAGACTTTTCCTCGGCTCGCCCCACCAGGGCGCGCCTCCCGCGGCCGTTTGCCCGATGGCTGGCGCTGCCCCAGCCTGTGCGGGCGTAGGGCAGGAAGACGGGAAGCAGCGGCCGATGTCGCGTAGCCTCGAGGCTCGACCCCGATCTCTGCCCGCGCACCCCGACGACCCTGTCTCCGCGTCGCGCGCGGGGCGAGCTCGACGTATCATGCGCGATTGCGTTCTGTGCTGCGAGTCCACAACGCGCTCGATGCGGATGCCCACTCCGCTTCTCTGACATCTCGCATGGACGTGGAGCCTGCCCCTCCCGCGCCGTCCGCAGGCCGCGCGTGTGCAGGTCCTGTGCAACGGCGAACGCGGGCCACGCGTGCACCGGCGCTGCGGGGATGGCCGCCGTTCTGCCGTCCGCTCAGCGGGGCTCTGATCCATCTGCTCCTTCGCGCTCCCGTCCTTGCACGGACCCGGTCCACGCCGCAATGCCAAACTCGACGGGTCCGCGATGGGCAGAGGGTGCGCTTCCAGCACGTGTGCCCGTCTGGGCGATATGCCCTGCGAGATGGCCACAATCAGCGGGGTGGCTCGGGCTCGGTGAGGGGATGCAAGCGCACGCGATGTGTGTCGCGCAAGTGGACCAGCTCGCCCCGGAGCTGCACGTCTCCACGTCTCCTCCCTGCCCCCTGTCCCCCGCTCCTTCAACTTGAGCTTGCGCGTCCCCATTCACCAATCCACGCTGCATCAAAATCGTCACCGCCATGTGTATGTCGCGCTTCCATGCGACACCCCCACACGCTCTCTGGGACATACACAAAGTGCCCGGGATGCCGTGCGCTGCTAGCAGTGAAGCTAAGGGAGATGGATCATCATCAATCCAGGTGCCACCGCGACATTTCCTGACCAGTTCCATCACTCTGATCCCTCTAGTACCTAGCTTTGGGCGGGCGCCTTCCATTGATGCTGAGTGGCCCTCCCCCTCCCCCCGGTGCGCCCGCGCTCATCGATCATCCTCATTCCCGTCCTTTGGACGTGGCTGCGGCTGCCTTCCTGATCCGCAACTCTTCCTCCCTCTCCTCCGGCCTTCTCGGGTTTGCATCTGCATCGCGTTACTTCCAATGCGCAGGGCGCGCTCCCCGAGCTGACCCTGCAGGAATGCTTCCCAAAGATGGGGGCAAGTGCGAAATGATGGTGAGTATCAACCACGATGGTGGATCTGGCTTCGGAGCAGGGCCAGTGGGGCAGGGACCCTGCCTGGGCACGCCACTGCATGCTGTGCTGCTTCCAATCCAAACCCGAACCCTGACACAGGCGTCCGGACCTCCCTCCTGGGCCCCGCACATGCCGAGGCAGCGAAGCAGCGTGTCGCTGCGGCTCCTGCTGTGTCCGTGGGCTTCTCGCGCGGGCTGCGCACGTCGGGGGCTGTTGGCGTTGGCCGTTGGGCGGTCGGCGCGCGGCGGAAGACTGGAAGTGCAGTGGGTACGAATGCTGGACGTTGCGCACTGACGCGCGGTTCCGAGGCCTGCGATTGGCGGGACCCTATGTCGAGGAATGGCGTGCCCGTACATGTCTCCGACTCCGCGCCAGCCGGGGCACTGTGTGTCGTCTGCGCATGTGGGCGGCGCGCAGAGAGAAGAAAGAAGACGGGATTGGCTCGAATGCTGTCGGGCACACGGTACTGGCCACCCTTCTCCCAGCTGCGATGTCCGTCGCGTTTCCATCCGAAGATAACAGGTTGCACACACCCAGCCTCGCACGCGCGAATGGACCCGGATCAGCTCTGCCTGCAGCCGCGCGCCCCCGCCCCGTGCCCCGCCCCTATGAACCCAGCCCAGCATACGCACACCGTGTTCGCGCGCGCGCGTGTCTCCGTCCGCCCATCCGCGCCGTACCAAAGACTCGAAGACGTCGCAGCCGTGCGCACGCCGCACTTCCATGCCGCGCCCGCACGCGTTCTCTGGGAAGCATACGCACGCCGCACGCCGCACGCACGCGACGTCCGGGATGCTGTGCGCTGCTGGCAGCGAAGGGGGATGGATCCTCGTGAAGGTGCCGCGGGGGGCATGTAGGCAAACACTCTCTGATCCGCCCCCGCGTCTTCTGGCCGACCGCGCTTCCCGGTTTCGCTGCCCTCTGGCCTCCGCACGGTACCCTCCTGAGCTGGGGATGCGTAGCCGCATACGCGTGTGGGGGGGGGACCTGCCATTCGGTATCTAAGGCGGCTGACTGCGGGGCGAGTCCCAGCTCGATGGGCGGGCACTGGGATATCTTTACATGCTCGCCGCGTGCGATGTCATCACACGCACATCCGTCGCACCAACATACGTATGCACCAGGGACTGGGAGCTCCAGGGCGGCGTGCTGGGCCAAGAACGACGGCCTGCAGGGCTCCAGCCTGTCCTCGGCGGCGCCATCGCCACCTGCTCCCACTCGCCATCTCGCCACGCTGGACGCCCCCATCTCGACGGTCAGAACACTGCTAGTGCGAGCCCGGTGCTCGTCCGTTTCTTCAGCCCCTCGCTGTGCCACATTCCGTTCGCGCGGCCTCCCCGTCCCTGCGCACGCGAGGGCGTCTCCCGCCAGAGCGATACAGGCGAGAGCAGTGCTTGCTTGCGTACCGCCGGCCGCGCTTGGGCGTTGTCCTGCCAGCATGCGAATACGACCCACGCCGGGCGACGACAAGGTGTGACAGCGGACTCGAAGATGGGAGACATCATGGCGACTCGAGACATTCCTGGCTGTGGCGAGGCGTTACCCTTCTGTTGGTTGGGTGGCACCGCGGCAGGGCTGGCACTGGAGAGCCGGGTCATGTCCGTCTTCCGTGTCTTCCTACGTGGTGGTGATCGATGTCATACGTCGACAGCTTCTCTAATGCCTGCCCCCCCCCCAGTGATTCCCTGAAGACGCGATGTTCCATTCCGCGACAGTATAACCAGCCAAGGTCGACGTCCGTGTCTTCCTGCCTAGTGGCTATCATACTTTGACAGCTTGTATCCCCCCCGGGGGTGGTTCCCTGTGATGCAGCATTCCATGCTGTGGCATCCCGGATCACGGTTTGGATGAGCAGTGGTGATTTAGTGTGGCGCCGCAGCTCTTGGGCCTTCCCAGACTCGTCGGTGGAGACATCGAGATTGGACCGTGCATGGCGACGCGCATCTGCGGTGTCCTGCTTGGAGAATGGGCCTCACGCTATGTTCTGAGCGCACTGCCCTGCCTTGGTTGTGCTTCTGGTCTGCGGCTGCACACACTCCAGACTCCGTCTCCGCCGTGCGTGGCAGCCTCTGCGCTGCTGCAGCCCCAC